ACCAGGAATCACATCATTAATAATTATAAGTTGGGATCTATTCAAGAGATTTAGGATCTAATAAATCATTTCAAAGTATTCTTTGAATTGGTTTTCCAATTAAATTATCATTTAATATGAGTTTTATCATACATTAACATAATATGGCTCCAGAGCCAAGCTAGCGTTGTAAGGCATAGTAATTATTTATCATTTAATACAACACTAGGATTTTTAGGGTTTTCCAATTAAATTATCATTTAATATGAGTTTTATCATACATTAACATAATATGGCTCCAGAGCCAAGCTAGCGTTGTAAGGCATAGTAATTATTTATCATTTAATACAACACTAGGATTTTTAATCCTTAATGAATAATTTACTATAATACAAATGTTGTTTATTTTATTCAGGAATATTTTGATTAATCATTGATATTTTGAATTAAGTATTAGAAATTATTAGTTTTTAATATAAATAAATCTTAATACATTAATAGTTAAATGTGTATTTTTGTGTGATTAATAAAATAATAGCTTGCAATTTCAAAGTCACTAAATACCAAATTTTGGTATTAAAAGTTTATATTACTAGTGTTGTGTACTTTTAATAAAATTATAAAACATTGAATTTTAAATAAGTAATAAGTTACAATTTTTTATAAAATATGGCACTTTTATGTAGCGAATTTTGTTGTATTTTAAAGACCAGGATTGAAATATATATCTCGTGTCATGTCTAGCGAGTTTAGGATTATTTGTGGATGATTATTTTCACCGTGTTCATCTGCCAGTCGTTTTAGCGTCTATACAATTATTAGATTTAATAAATTAAATTGTTATCTAGTTATGTGAATATCATAATATACTTTTCCAACTAAATTAGTAAGGTGATAATTGCACGCATACTGTGCGATTGAATAACTGAATGCCTGTCCAAATAGTGTTATATCTTCATCAGGATTACGCCATAAATTCATAGCTAAACTTAATTAAATCATATATTTTGAATGTACAACGTTATATCCGGGTTGCTTATACAAATACTCAATAACTTAAGGGTCTTACAATACAATATACATACATTTTGAATGTGAATAAATGATATAGCTTCTATTATTATTCAAATTTAGATTAATCCGGATATTTTCAATTGGTTGATAAGTTTCTAAAAGTGAATACATGTATTAGTTTTGATTCTCTCTCTCTCTCTCTCTCTCTTTCCAATAAAAATAAATAAAACAAAATACAAACGAATAGAGANTTCTCTCTCTCTCTCTCTCTCTCTCTTTCCAATAAAAATAAATAAAACAAAATACAAACGAATAGAGAAAGTGTTGAAAACAAATATTTTCGGTTTCATCCGAAGAGAGACATCACTCTTAGGATTATTAGCGGAGAATATGTCCACAATTTCTGTGAACGACATCTCATTATCGACGCCGCGATTGCCGTAACCGTAGATCTTCTGATCAAATCCGCCGCCGATAACCATCACAATGAGTGCGTCGGCATTAAACCGCTGACACGACATACCCATTATTACAGTCCTTATCTGAGAACAGGTGACGTCCCGATATATCTCACACTTGAAGTCTAACTGTTTAAAGATAGACTTCCATCGGTTCACCTCATCCTTCAGACCATCAGTGGTCACAAACAGTATGGCCAGACCTCTGGGCCGGGAATCCATCTGAAAGTATCGCGAATTTCCTGATCTCAGTATCGATGCGTTTATTACTTTTAATTCAATGTCCGGCCCATAGGGCCAGGGGTCGTCCATACGGAACATATTGGCTATCATAATAGCATCCTGTTGCCATCCAGTGTTATTCAGAAATTCTTGTAGCCGACCTGGCTGCTTCAACTCCTCCCTAATTGTTTTACCCTTTAATCTGGCCTTATTTTCAACTTCATTCATTTCCTAATTATAAATATTTAAATAAATATTACATGTTTTAGGTTTTATATACAAAATTAATTACGTTTATATCGCCTAATAATGGATCGTGGCCATTAGACGTAATAAGTCCAAGATTCATTTTATTGACAAATGTATGAATTATATCATCGATGGCATTATCGTCTAAATCGGCTCTTTGATGAATTTGGGTATTATTTCTGGCATTAGGTTGTGATACAAGTGGTCCCTGATATGACTCGACTGCCGTCGATGTGGACGGTTGTGGTGATTGTCCGGATATTTGTTGATTTGCAGTTATATTATCTATTCCCTGCCCTCCCTCTTGGGTCTCAATGTCAAAATCAGTGAATATTAAATTACTTTCAAAATTAATATTTTTGGGAACCAAAGAACTTAAAATACTATCAAAGGTAGTAACCGACGGTCCGGGAGTTGGCATTGGAGGCTGAGTTATAGGAGCCACAGTCTGTGCCCCTGATATCTGCGCTATGTTTGATTGGTTGGGAGTTATGTCCGTACAGTAGGTGTCGTTTTGATGACCCATTGAGTTAACATTAATATTGCCACTATTGTTTGTAAGCAAATTGAGTTGATCTTGATTACAATAAGTCGATTCTGTATAGCCGGCGATATTTTGTTGTTCTGCTGAATAACTTTGTTGACCATGGTTATTTATAACATTGCACACTGACCTCTGCTGTGTCTGAAATCCATAATTTGCTATTGAATTGATTGGCTGTGTGTATGATTGAGCTGTGTGTCCATTGAAGCTATTAATTCCAGGTGGTTGACCCTGGTAGTTGCTACCAATGCTATTTGGCCCCTGATTTGGTACGTAGCAAATCGCTTGAGTAGTGCTATTTCGATGCCGTTTGATACTACTGGTGCTGTTTTGCGGAAAATTTTGTGGTTTATGTTTCTATGCATGCATTCAATTAGTGATTACAATATAACTTTAAAATATAACACTGATAAAATTACCGGTCTCATTCCGATTCTATAAGATTTATGTATCTTACACGGTCGACAAACATTTGGGTCACAATTTTCGGGATCATTTGGACCCATTTCTCCATTAG